ACCACCACTACAGTAAGCATCATTCCTTCGAGCTGCCGCGCCAACACTCAAAAGAAGAATACGAACGGGCCGCGCACTACGAACGCGCCTATGTGGATAAGCGCACGAGACCGCGCAGCATCACTAACCGGCGGGGAGCCATCAAACATCAAAAGTTTGTTGACACTTTCACTTTATGCACTGCAAAAAATTTTATTGCCAAACAAACTCGCTGATTTCGGTTTTTTGTTTTTTTGTTTGTTTTTAGAACGCACGAAATTAACGGCCACCGTTTCGTGGCGAAATTTTTTCGTCAGCCGACGTTCTGCGCCTTCTGCAATCTGTTTCTATGGGGCTTCGGTAAGCAAGGATATCAATGTATCAGTGAGTATGGAATAAAAGTTTCACGCTTATTATAAATAATTATTTTAATTAAGACGATAATAAATATTAGCACGAATAGTCGAGAATAAACAGAGCTCCTCTACTTCAGTTAATGGCCATAAAAGTTTATGGCTCACATATGATTTTCTTTTTATTTTCTTTTGTATTTTGAAATAAATATTTTATTTTGAATGATTCAAGCGAAGCAATTATTATGTCTTTAGCGGTTGTTATTTTTTTCTAAATATTAGACTGATAGATTTTACTACAACTTAGGTTCTCAACCCACACAGTCTTCGGCGATGAGTTCTGTTCTTCCCATACGCTTACATTATCTTTGTTAATGAACTTCAAGTCACGTGTTAGTGTATCTGCCATTTGGGTTAATTTTCTTATTTGGATTATTTGTATTGTTACTCAGTCATTTCACTTGTGAATTCTCTGGTATATAAAAAATAAAATGCCCGAATTTAAAATATTAGACAGCACCACGTAATATTAATATCTGGCTGCGATTGTAGTCAAATCAGGAATAATACACCCAATGCCTATTTTTTCCATTAAACTTCTGCTTTCTATTCAATATTCCAAGTCTTTAGTGTACACTTATTTTAATTCTTTAAGCATCATTTCGCCAAATTGCCAAAAATGATCCATTAAAACCTTTATTTATTTATTTTTTTTATTCTTATTTTTATTCATAACTCTTTATGTTAAATCTCAATTCAAATTGGAAAATCATAAAATAAAAATACTATCATATTTTATAATACTTAGTATATATACTTAGTATACTTAGTAAAAATACTATTATATTTCATAATACTTAGTATCGGTTGAAATTGCGATTTAGTTAGAATAAAATATAGTATAGTTCTAATACACGGAACAGCTCAATTTCTTTTTATATTCTTCCTGAATTAAGTGCTTCAATATAATCTATTGTATTATGTGCTGTTTTTTCAACTGATCAGCTCAAATTTTTTATTTAAAATTGTTCGAAAATACAGGTGCATCAATCGAAAACGATTTCTGATCCGTACCTATCACAATTTTGACATCTTCAACTGCAACACGCGTTAGGTCCTTTGACAGTTCCTTACAAAGCATGTGCCTTAGAGAAGGTTATGAGATTAGCTCCAATGATATCTTCAACATCGTTCCGTGTTTGTGGATTAAATGAGCAGTCTCAAATCTACCAATGATTTTCACTAGTGTTGAGAGCTTCTGTTTTGATAGCATATTCTTAGTACGATTGAGATTTCCCGTTTACGCCGATTTGACAACAAATTTTAGTAAAATAACTTTTTTTACTACACTATATACTCATATAGTCTATTTCTTGAGATATTGAAATTCAAAGTTCTAAGCTTTTTTACTTGATTTATTTACACTACCACTAACAGAATTATAATATTAGTGCTATAATAAGTGCTAATGATATATGATTTTTACATTAGTTATTCAAACAATAAGAAAAGAAATCGCAATCGAAAACCGGTAATAAAACCAGATATAAGTTATCTTCAATTCACTAAAATTTATTTTATATTTTTCCTTAAATCAGATTTCTTTATCTGGCTCGATATCAAAGTTCTGAGTTCTGAAGTTTTAAAGTTTTAGAGTTTTAAACTTGCAATACTTTCAATTGACTCAATAATAATCAATAGATGATAAGTAAGAATACCTTTTTGTACAGAACACATAAACTTGAAATGAAATAAAGGAAGTTGTTCTCAAACTCTAAACAGATGTTCTTGATTGCAGACAACTGTTGACAACTATTGTTTATTGAGTTGATCCTAAAAGGACCAAGATTGACCGACTTACACTAAAAATTTTTTTAAATAAAACTCCCAACTTCACCCTTCTTAAACTATAATATTCCATTTTCCAGACAAAGTGATCCGATAAGTCTACTTGCGAATTCTTTGCCAGATTAGTGAAAAAAGAATCACCTACAAAGTGATATACTCAACTCATAAGTAATCCAGAAAGCCTACGAACAGCGAGTTTACTCAAGCTTAAAGACCTTTTATTCTTCTCTTATCTAATCTATGCTATATGGTCTCACATCTATATGAGTCTCACAGTGTATGCGATTAGTTGTTAATTGATTCATTACCTATCTGGTGACTATGACGAATATTAACTATAAATGGAACTGTAATTAGGTATACGAAAGCAAAATTTAAAAGTTTCTATTATAACCAAATTTAATTTATACAAAATTTATTTAATAAATTTCAAACAAATACAAATATATCCGAAATTTTAACTAAAACGCATTCATTCTAAAGATTACATTTTTAAGACTGAATAAAATATAATAAAATCGTAGCACTGTCCATAAAAACGACTTTATTGAAAATCTAATTGAACCCCATATCGCACACATATCAAGCACAAGGTGCTATAACTGTCTCCAAAATAACGGAAGTTGGAAATCTAATTCTCGAACAACTGAAGTCGTGTATTGGCCATAGTTCCGCGAATTAGAGATTTTATGTAGTCAACGTCTATCGTACAACCGAAGCGATCAACAACTTGAAATATTGTTATCGAAAATATACCAGTGGGATGATAGCACACAAGTGTGAAAGCCAACTTACAGGTTCAATATATAAGATTATATTGTTCCAATAGGTATTTCTGCAATATTTTGATTGCGTAGCCCATTAAGGAAGTAGCCAATTGACAAAAAGGGTAAACGCTAGAAAGAAACCTCTTGAAAAATCCACCTTTTTCTGGAGGCCTATAACTTTCGGTTGAAATGTTTTTTTTTTTTGAATGTGATGTCTTAAATTTTATTTAATTTA